CTTTTGTTTCATTTTCATCTGTTGTAACAGGACTTTCTGGGAATTCCCCAGTCATATACAGTGCAGTGTATAGCAGTACTGCTACATTTCTTGGATTAAACATTATCTAAAAAAATTATTAACATTATGTATATTTGTTTTATAAATATTAGCAAAAAATACTTATTAGCAACAAAAATATTTTATTATTTAATGCGTATTAATAATTTGTTACGTTTTCCGAGTTTCATGAAAAATAGAACAGTTTTATCACATAACTTAAATAAAGTAATAAAATATTAATTATAATTTAAATACATTAAAACAAAACAGATAAACCGCAATTTTGAATGAAGTGTAAGTAAAAGCAAAAAACTATAAAAGTTTTGAAAATCGAAAAAGTACATACATACTGTATTGTTGTGTGCGTGGGGCACAATTGTTTTTTCAGGATAACGGCTAGTCTTGTTAATTAACTCGAGCACTTGTTAATTATTTGATAACTGATTTGTGACTGTCCGCCGCTTCTAGGCGGTGGCTTTTAACGCCTCCGGTTCTGAACGATTATCGGAGGAGGATCGCGCGGTGGCATGACCAAATAAAATCATTGGTTATTTCTAAAGTGGCGTGCAAAATGCAAGCGAAGGAAGTCCGAAGACTTCCTCGCATTTTATTGCAATTCAGCGCTATTTCGAGAGTGATTTCTTCCTCTGTTTGATGACTTGGCCGTGTGATACTGGCTGTATCAGCACTTCGGGCAGCTGACTTTCTTATCGCGACGCATTTTTTCGCTCGCTTTATAAGTTATAATCCTTTTAATTATTTTCTTATATATATAAATATATTTACTATCGCGCTCGCGTATATTCGATAGACGCTTTAATAGTAATATGTGTTCCACTGCACGCAGTTGTTAATAAAATAATATATTGCACCAACTCATTTCGCGAATGCGACATCTGTTTATTCATAGAATTGAATCTATTAACATCGGCATCTGATCAATAATTTTCCTTGTCCGACTAGTTTTATTTTTCATGCATTAAAAACATTACTTTTCCATATAAATTATATGTATATTTATTGTCACATAATATAGACATATATTATAATTATAATTATTATATAATTTATAATTATATTTATAAATATAATTTCTATAATTTATAAAAATATATTCTCATAAATTATTTATTGCTAATTTATGGTTGCCTCTGTGAGTTTGCGAAGAAAAATGACTGTCGCTGTGAATAACGAGCGTCATAAGGCGGATAAAGCGGGCGTATAGTAGTGTATAGGGATATTTTTAATTTATTTCTGAAAAATGTGACTTCGGAATACAACTTTATTATATATGATTGAATTTGTCGTTAAATGAGCTATAAGTTTTGTTATGAGACAAATTTAAAAATTTTCAAACATTAAAAGGGAGGGGGGGGGATTTCGAAAAATATGACATTTTCGACAAATCTGATTACATGATTTTGAAGTACATTAAAGACCATAAAACTTTTATTTGAAACTTTTGTTTATATCTCTTATCGCTTCGACGGTATCCGCTGAGAAATGAAAAAATCGATTTTTTTCAAGAAGGTGTTTCACCCCCTTAACGGCCGACTCAGCACTTATAAAAAAATACGTGTCTCCTATTTTGATCTAGACTACAACATATTCAAAGCTCATTAAAATCGGAGGGGGACACTTCCGACCCTTTCCTTGTCAGTAGTACTCTGAAGAGGTTGGGCGCTACATCGTCGAAGGCTGATCCTTGTCTGTTCTACGTGGGCTTCGGAGAAGACATTGATCGCCACGTATGCCGATGATATACTGATCGCTTCCCGGGACCGGGAGAAAATAGCTGAGCTCAGACGAGAGTTGAGCAAGCATTTCAGGATCAAGAACCTCGGTCCTGTAAAACAATGTCTCGGCATAGAATTTAACCATTCAGACGGAAAACTAACATTGAATCAACCTGGATATATTCGCAGCATACTGGAACGATTCGGGATGACGGATTGCAGCACAGTGGCTACTCCGGTGACTTCCGGTTTGAGACTGGAGAAGAACGAAACTCAATCCGATGAAGATTTGAGATTACCGTATCGCGAGTTAGTTGGAGCACTAACTTACCTGGCCTCGACCACTCGACCCGATATTTCGTTCGCGGTGAGCAACCTCGGACAGTACAATAACTGCTTCGGCGCGAATCATTGGAAGGCAGCGAAGCGAGTGCTACGGTATCTAAAAGGAAACATCGACGTGGGATTGACCTTCGGGTCTGATTCTGGATCGATCGTTGGATTTGCTGACGCCGATTGGGGTAACACCGAGGATAGGAGATCCTTCTCCGGATACATCTTCATGCTCAACGGAGGAACCCGTGTCTTGGGAATCCAGAAAACAACGAACGGTGGCTTTGTCGACGACGGAAGCGGAATATATGGCCTTGACGGAAAGCTCCAAAGAGGCCATCTTCCTACGACGTTTCCTAATCGAACTCGGGTCCAATGACTTGAGCGGAATTATAATCTACTGCGATAACCAAAGCGCAATGAAATTGACGGAGAATCCTGTATATCACGGCAGGAGCAAACACATTGACATACGCCATCACTTCATTCGGGAAGCTATCGGACGAAAGGAGTTTCACCTGAAGCACATCTCTACCGAGGATCAAGCGGCTGACTTTCTGACTAAGGGACTTGTGAAAGCCAAGCACATCAAGTGTGCAAAGTTGGCCGGACTTGGTGATTTAGATTGATTGTTCAGATTGAATTTGAACTCAATACCATTTTAAGCATTGACTTTTCTATTTCGAGCATCAACATAGTAAAAAATGTTTGTTTTGGCAGCAATCGGCTCGAGGGGAAGTGTTAGAGATAGGTGGCTCGCCACGATTGCGTAATGTCGCCATCTGCGGCATTTTTCTATCATCTTCTTGTTGTTCGTTTGTTTTTCCCGGCCGTGCGTGATCCTCTCAGAGTTTTCTTTACTTCGCCTGTATTTCTCCCAAGTGCAATACACAGTTACTTATAACTCGGTGCTATTTAATTGACCCCCTGAGTCGTGACGATCCTTAACTCTAACAAATTCTATGACTAATATTTAATAACTGTAAAAAAACAATATTTTTAATCTTTTTATTCTTGAAGTACAAACGTTAATAAAACTTTAGTAATATCGGCAAACTTTTAAAAAGAAATATGAGTTACGGTATAATTGAATAGAGTTAACTAACTCATCGTGAGAATGAATCAAATCGTTAGACAAAAGTTTTTTAATAATTGCAAAGAGCTACACTTTCGCTTGTATTTGACAAAAGCTGTTATGAATCCTCATTGATTCTCGTTAATCTATTGATTGATTTTCTTTTTAATATGAGTTATGTTTGATATAGAAGATGCCTTTAAAAAAATAAATAAAAAATAGATTTTATGATATAATAAAACTACATCACATTCAATTTATATCATTTAGGAATGGTACATATCAAACCGGTATTATTAAGCAAATCAAAAACAAAAGGCAATTTTTTGTTTAATTTTATATATTATATAATTTATCATTAAAAGCCAGAAACAATCGCCTCAATGATATTCACTTAATTCTTTTTGTATGTTACATTTTATGAAGGATATTTCAATGTCCGAGAAAAGTGACCATCATATACTAAATTTCAAATCTGACCGGAGTCATTCTGATAGTATTGTTAGAAATGAGCGCGAAGTCAATGAAGTTATATTACTTGCAAATATTTCTACCATTCCAGAATCTATCGGTAAGTTGCAAAAAATTAAAACATTAATAACAAAATCTATGATAAAAAAGTGTAAATATAATTTAAATTCAAGAAAGAGTGGCAATCAAATCTAAAAATATCTTCCAGTATTGAAAAGAATATAAATTCTAATTCTGCCCTAAAAAGAAACAGAAAAGTACAATATAAAAATAACATTGTATATAAAAATTGTTAAAATTTAAGGTAAAATCAATTTTATTAATATGTTACTCTGTTTTAAAGCAGTCGCAAATATTATACTTCTGATTTCTTAAGCTATAGGAATTTTTCGAAAAGTACTTGTCGTTTTAGTAAAAATTATTTATTTTTGCCATGAATTAACGATTACTTTTCTAAATCTTAAATGACGCAAAAAATTATTATATTATCTTTTTAAAGATCAATATTGTGCTAATTTCCATATTTTGTAGTTTACATTTATCTTTTCTCTTCCCTTTATTTTCACATTAAATTGTTCTTTCTGATTTACTGAGATAATCCACTTAATCTTATATGTAATTGTGTTTATGAGTACAATCTTAAAATCTTTAGAAAGCAGTTTGAGCAAGCCAACATCTCTCAGAGCATTTGTACAATTCGACAGTCAATTTACAGAAAAAGTAAACGACATTTTTGTGACATTGAGGTAAGAAATCTAAATTCTCAGTTTGTATTCTTCCATTTTTCTTTCTTTTTCTTAAATTTAACGACATAAATATATCAAAATGTTAATTCTGTTATAATTTTGTTAAATGTAAAATGGCTCAAATTTTATTTCAATTTATTATTTTAATTTATTTTAATTTAATTTTAATTTAATTTAATTTTAATTTAATTTTAATTTAATTTATTTTCTAACGACATCTCGAACATTGAAAAAGATCTTGAAAAGATCGAAACGTACGTATGTATTATTTTCTGTTCACTCGAATCAATTTTTTCAGACATATTTTTTATATTTTTATATGACTGATTAATAAAATATAAATGGTAAAATATAATTTACCAACTACTATATATACTATTTCTGTAAGCTGTTTAGACAACAATCTCAATAAGTCTGAGAAATTCAATGTGCTGCGATATGTGACGTGCGAGCGACATTACGAGATTTTTCATAACTTAACACCATTTACAGATTACGAATTGAAGTTTACTTTAAGCAATTCTTACTTTGATCAATTATCAATAAATCCAATCAATTCGAATGTGATGTCATTAAAAACTAATTCGGGCAAGCTTAATGCACCAGAAAACAAGTGTTTTAGCTTTGACGCCTCCTATAGCAGTAGTTCATTGGATGCCACCCAAGCAATTGAACTGCGTGAGCGTGAACTACGAAGTGCATTGGAAGTTAGTGAACGACACGCAACAAAAGAACAAACAATTTATCAATATGCCGAAACGTATGGCAGATGGCAGATTTTACACAAAGATTAACTTGTCGGAACCAGTACAAAATTACTTGATATACGTGCGTGTGTATCCAATTAATTTCAGCGATTTCTACAACGAGAGTTTAAACGAGATCATATCCTCAGAATCAAACAGTATTACTTTGAGCGGGGTCAACATAAATAGCATGAACATTTCATGGATCTCCAACATTAATCTGACGATCTTTTGTATACTGGAATACAAAGAGATTGCAGCAGAAAAGTGGCAAACAACAAATTATTTTAAAGTAAATTATAACAATGAAGTAATGTACAGTGTCAAAAATTTACAATCGGGCCCTTTATACAAGTTTCGCTTGATATTGACATACCACGAATATGTGGAAAATTTTATATGGCCGGCTGATGAAAGATTTAATTTTTCAACACGTGGTAGCAAACGTGGTAAGCAAATATCCATACAGCACAATAAGATTACGGATATATTGAAGAATAATTTCATTGAAACATTGCAATATTGCAAATCGAATGCGAAACTCTGCTGAGTTATTGTTATAAGATTGTGATAAAGTTAAGCTGTTCGTTTTTTGCAATGAAACATTGTAGTAATATATTGGATAACATAGTGTAATATATTGGAAAAAATGCAATGTTATTGTAACCATATTTTTGTTTTTGATGGATAAATATTTTGGAAACATTTAATTAAATTAAAGAGCTCAATATAAATAGAAGTTTGCAATATATAAGATAATCATGTCTAAAATAATACATTGCAAAATTGTATTTAAACATAATCATATACACAACATAAAATGTTATATTTTTATACAAAATTACTTTAAACTCTTACTTACAAATCACTTTTCTTATTTTAAATGTTCTATACACTCTTATAATGGGTACTTTATACACATATATATATTAGTGATAGAATTAATTATACATTCCTAATTATATTTTTATTTAAAAATTTAAAAAATCCGTTATAATTATATTTATTTACATGTGAAAAATACATAAAAATGCATAGAAAAATATATTGACAGATATAATAGTATCTATTCTTAGTATAATAAAAAGATATATTATCTTTGAAGATTAATCGTATTCGTAAATAAAATGAAAATATATTTGTAATATTGCAATATTGTTGCAAAGTAGTTGTAACATTCTGTGCTGCATAGATATTATGTTCTAATTTTTTTAGATATGAATAGACCAAAAATTACATTTTGTATTAAAGTTATAACTAAAAATAAATTTGTAAAAACATACACAGACGAAGATATTAAAATTATATTTTTGCTTAATATAGATAATCCGAGCACTCCTGGAATAATAGCGAAAAAATATTACTTATTTTTTATGTTAAGTTTTATCGCTAATGTCTAATTCATACTTTATTAAATTACATTTCTACAATGTTTCTGTAATGTTGCATTGCAATTTGTAATATTGCAATATTATTGCAAAGTAACAATCTATGCTACATAGATATTATAACATTATGAGCTAATTTTTTTAGATATGAATAGGCCTAGAATTTAAAAGAATTAAATTTTGTAATAAAGTTATGAGTAAAAATAAATTTGTTAAAACATACACACACAAAGATATTAAAATTATATTTTTGCTTAATATAGATAATCTGAGCACTCCTGGAATAATAGTGCAAAAATATTATTGATGTTAAGTTTTATCGTTATAGTTATTATAATTTGCGTCTTCTACTTTTATCGTTGTAAGTATATTTGATGTAGGTGTTGACTTTAATTGTTTAGATTATACATATATGTCTGATATAATATCTTGAGATTTACTAAAAATAATAATTTACTTATATAAAACTAAACGAATAAATTTGCTAAAAACAGTAATTTTATAATACATATTATTACATAATTAACTCGAAATTTTACAACAGTATATCGTCAACGCAGAGGTAATAATGATCAATTTTTGTCTTCAACAACGGCCGATGTAGAATTGGCGATTCTACATGAAGTACCTTGCCGAAACACTCAATTCAATATGATTTACAGTCCTATGTTACATTATAACCCGGATGAATGTGCGTTTACTAAAATTGCACGAAATCAAATTATATTCACAAAACATCTTGGTAGCGGCGCATTCGGAATGGTAAAAATTAATTTTTTCAAGCAATATTTCTAATTAATTTTTGGATTAACAAAACAGATACGTATTTTTTGATAAAGATATAAATTACATAAATTTTTTTAATAGATTATAAGTAATATAAAATTTACATGAGACAACAAGCATGCACTTTATTATATATTTTATATATTTATTATATATATTGAATTATTTAATATAAAGTAAAATATAATACTACTTGACATTAAACTATACATTTTTTAATAAAGAATGCATGTAAATTTGTGTGAAATATTTCACAGGTGTATCACAGGAAAGGTGAAGGATTTAGAAAAATCGGGCACAGAGATGTTCGTTGCAATAAAAACGCTTCGAAAAAATGCTTCTTCCCGTGAGAAAGAGAAATTGTTAAAGGAAGCCAAACTTATGAATCATTTTCAACACAAACGTATATTAAGATTGTTGGGCGTTTGTTTAGATGGAGATTCTCCGTTACTAGTGATGGAATTGATGGAAATTGGAGATCTGTTAAAATATTTGAGAGAATATCGAAATTTGCAAGCGTCAGATTCGCTTGCTCTGCGTTTGCAAGATTTGCTCGCCATGTGCGAAGATGTTGCGCGAGGTTGTTGCTACGTGGAAGAGTTGCGTTTCGTACATAGAGATCTAGCGTGTCGCAATTGTTTAGTATCTTCGAGAAATCGCGAGAATCGTATCATTAAAATTGGAGATTTTGGATTGTCCAGAGATATCTACAAGGATGATTATTATCGCGTGGTGAATACAATTATGGAAAAAAATTAATAATTAAAAAATAAATTTTTCTAAAAATACTTTCCATTTTCTTATCATAATAGTATACTGGATTGTTTCTTTAAGTAATATAGAATATAAATAGTTTTTTATATACAGCAAGAAATATATGAACGTTTTTTATTTTGCACATATTCTAAAAATGAACGACTTGAACCAGAAAATTAAAGTTTTGTTGAAATCATGTTTTAGGAAGGAGAAGATTTGATTCCTGTTCGCTGGATGGCACCCGAATCTTTAATCATGGGAATATTTACTTCTCAAAGCAATGTTTGATCATTTGGGGTATTAATGTGGGAAATTACATCGTTGGGTGAGCAACCTTATAGTGCCAAGACTAATGAAGAAGTGATAAATTATGTACGTGCTGGAGGCAGATTGCCGATGACTCTTAACTGTCCGTCAACATTGTATCAGTTGATACTGAGTTGCTGGAACACAGTGGATGCCAGATCAAATTTTAATCTTTGTCTGAAAAATATTATAGCATTTAGAAAGAACACGGAAGATGCTTTATTGAGTCCAGTCGATACTATTTAGCTGATATAATTGAATTAATGTTTATCTTATTTTCCTAACAATCCAATAAATCTTAATGTAGAAAAAATATTTCTAGGATATTTCTAAATTGATTCTTATTTTTAGGTTTGATCTTAATAATACATGTATCAATGAAAGTAAAAGAAATTTTGTGATCTTACCTTCCATAAAATTTTGATTATTATTAAAAAATATCACAACAACTTAATAAATCTTAATACAGAAAAAATATTTCTAGGATATTTTTAAATTGATTCTGATCAGATTATTTTTAGGTTTAATCTTAATGTTACATGTATCAATGAAAATTAAATTTTGTGATATTATTTTCCATACAATTTTGATTATTATTAAAAAATATCACATTCGTTTTCATGATTGACAAAATCAAATAATATGATTATATATCTTATTTGTGTTTTTCAGTAATCGAAGCGAAATTTAATGATTGTGATTATATATACGAGGGTAGTTCGAAAAGTTCTCGGCCTGGCAAAGAAAACACATGATTTCCAGCAAAAATCTTTTTTATTTTTCAACATAGTCCCCTTTCAACTCAATACATTTAGACCAACGATGTTCTAATTTTTTTATACCCTCAGTATAATACGATTTGCTTAAGCCTCCAAAATAAGCATCCGTCTCAGCGATGACCTCCGCATTTGACGTGAATTTTTTTCCAGCAAGCCATTTTTTCATATTCGGAAACAAAAAGAAGTCACTGGGAGCTAAATCTGACGAGTACGGTGCGTGTGGTAACAATTCGAAACGCAATTCATGGAGTCCAAGCACTCTTGAGAAATGTTCGTTCGAATGCGTTTCTGATCGACCGTTAACAAACGCGGCACCCATCGCGCTGAGAGCTTTCTCATATACAAATGTTCATGTAAGATATTGTGAACACGATCTATTGAGATGTTTGCAATGTTAGAAAGCTCACGCACTTTTACTCGTCGATCATTTAACACGCTATCGTGGATTTTTTGAATGATTTCCTCATTCGTGGCGGTTTTCGGGCGACCCGAACGTTCATCGTCAAAGATGGATGAACGGCCACGTTTAAATTCAGCAGCCCATTTCTTCACTGTTGAAAATGATGGAGAAGAGTCTCCCAAAGTGGAATCCAGCTCGTTTTTTATTTCTGTTGCCGTTAATCCTTTTAAAACGAAATATTTTATGACTGCGCGATATTCAATTTTATCCATTTTTGGAGAAGTATCAAATCTTGTCTGTTTTACTCGAGCACAGTAAACAAACTAGCGAACGAATCTGTCTGAAACTGTGCGGTACGCCCTCTGAGGGATTAAACTTGAGAAAAATCATAGCCATTTGATATTCTTAGCGACATTTCTATATTAGGCCGAGAACTTTTCGAACTACCCTCGTATATACGTGGACGAATTTTTTCGAAATGATAGACCGTACTTGTATGTGAATATATATTTATACATTATTAGCTTTATTAAACAGTTATTGGAGATAAAACAATAAATATAGTTCATTTTCACAACGTACTTGCGTACTTTTTTAATCATCAATATAATTTGAATATATAGTAAGTTATTAAATAAAAAGATATAATATATTTATATTCTTATCTCGAATAATGTAAAAAATTCATATATGTTAACTGTTATAAACTCAAAAATAATTGTATTATTATATTTATATATTCACAATTAATTATAGAGGATATTATTCGCGTTTCCTCTTTCACTCATAAGTTTTACAATCAGTTTGTAATTATCGGTCATATATAATGTCGAAAATTAATTATATTACTATGTTCAAAAAAATATTGTTTATACATATACATATATATAATCACAATCATAAAATTTCGCTTCGATTACTCAAAAACACAAATTAGATATATCATCATATTATTTGATTTTGTACAATCATGAAAACGGATGTGATATTTTTTAATAATAATCACAATTGTATGGAAAGTAAGATTACAAAATTTAATTTTCATTGATACATGTAACATTAAGATTAAACCTAAAAATAATCAGATTAGAATCAATTTAGAAATATCTAATATTTTTTTTACATTAAGATTTATTGAGTCGTTTGGAAAATAAAATAAACATTAATTTAAGTATATCGGCTAAATAGTATCGATTGGACTTAGTAAGGCATCTTTTATGTTCTTTCTTAATGCTATGATATTTTTCAAACAAAATTTAAAATTTGGTCTAGCATCCGCTACACTCCAGCAATTTAGCATCAATTGGTACAATGGTGACGGACAGTTAAGAGTCATCGGCAACCTGCCTCCAGCACGTACATAATTTATCACTTCTTCATTAGCCTTGGCATTATAAGGTTGCTCACCCAACGATGTAATTTCCCACATTAATACCCCAAATAACCAAACATCGCTTTGAGAAGTAAATTTTCTGATCATCAAAGATTCGGGTGCCATCCAGCGAATAGGATGCAAACCTTCTCCGTCCTAAACCATGATTTAAACAAAACTTTATTTTTCTGGTTCAAGTTGTTCATTTTTAAAATATGTGCAAAAAAACGTTCATTTATCTCTTGCTGTAAATAAAAAACTATTTATATTCAATATTACTTAAAGAAACAATGCAGAATACTATTATGATAAAAAAATGGAAAGTATTTTAAAAAGAATTCAATTTTTAAACATTAAATTTTTTTCATAATTGTATTTACCATGCAATAATAATCATCCTTGTAGATATCTCTAGCTAGTCCAAAATCTCCAATTTTGATGATACGATCCTCACGATTTCTCGAAGATACTAAACAATTGCGATACGCTAGATCTCTATGTACGAAACGTAACTCTTCCTAGTAACAACAACCTCGCGCAACATCTTCGCACATGGCGAACAAATCTTGCAAACGCAGAGCATGCGAATCTGACGCTTGCAAATTTCGACATTCTCTCAAATATTTTAACAGGTCACCAATTTCCATTAATTCCAACACTAGTAACGGAGAATCTCCATCTAAACAAACGGCCAACAATCTTAATATATGTTTGTGTCGAAAATGATTCATAAGCTTGGCTTCCTTTATTAATTTCTTTTTCTCATGGGAAGAAGCATCCTTTCGAAGCGTTTTTATTGCAACGGATATCTCTGTACCCGATCTTTCTAAGTTTTTCACCTTTCCTTGAAACACCTGCAAAATATTTCACACAAATTTACATACGTACTTCATTAGAAAATGTGTATAGTTTAATGTCAAGTAATATCAAGAGACACGGTAGTGTCTTGTGCTAAGTCCCGCGTAAGCAACAAGACGCGCCGTGTATCATTACGCGAGTTGGATAGTTGGAGATGTTCGAGATTATCATATTGAAATAATCGCTGAACGGATCGAGTTCTTATTAGGCTTAATGGATAGCTTGAGGTTGATTTATATAAGAAAAGTGTCTTTATTTTTGCTCTACGTGCATCGTGAACAACAATATTATGATCCAAAGTCGAAATATGAAAAATTTTCATTAAGAAACGTCTCCTTGGTCATCGTCGCCCAAGTCCCCAATGCGCAAGCGTAAAAAGTTGTACGTTTGCCGCATTCGACGTAAGATTGCGCTAGCGGCGCTCCGTGATGTTAAGACTATTATATACAGGGTGTCTCATTTTAATCGATGGATCCAAATTTCTCCTAACCTACATCAGCTACAAAAAAATGTTTCAGACAAAAGTTGTATGGCTTGAAGGGGAACAAAAGGTGGTCATTGGTTTGGCATTGAAAAGTCACCTGAAGGTTACGTGAAGATCACATCCAACTTTTTAAATGGGACTTCCTATATGCTTTTGCATATTTTTTTAGTTCATCTCGAGAGCTTTCCGAAATACTATAATTAAGTTAATTTTCATTAAGTAGTTTTTAAGTTATGAGACTTGAAATCATTTCTTAATTTTACATAAGTCGTAAAATATCTAGTAAAATATTCATTTTTCGATTATCTTATCTTAATACTTTTATACTCAATACTTTTATCTTAATACTTTTACGTACAAAATAATAAGCAGAATCAAATGGTGTAAAGAAAACATACAGTTGTTTAAGAAAAAATATGGAATTGTTAATTGCAAATTAATTATATATTTTTTTCCTCGGAACAGTTATATGTTTTTTTTACACCCCAATTGATTCCTCTTATTATTTTGTACACAAAAGTATTAAGATAAGTTAAACAAAAAATGAATATTTTACTAGATATTTTACGATTTATGTAAAATTAAGAAATGATTTCAAGCCTCATAACTCGAAAACTACTTAATGAAAACTAACTTAATTAGTGTTTTGGAAAGCTCTCGAGATGAATTATAAGAATATGTAAAAGCATATAGGGTGTCCTATTTAAAAAATTGGATATGATCTTCACGTAACCTTTAGGTGACTCTTCAATGTCAAACCAATGACACCACCTTATGTCCCCCTTCAAGCCATACAACTTTTGTCTGAAACATTTTTTTGTAGCTGGCATAGTTTAGGAGAAATTTGGATCCATCGATTAAAATGGGACACCTTGTATACAGGGTGTCCTAGACCACCCGTACACCCCTTTTCTTTCAAAAACTAAGCACTTTAGAGAAAAACGTTTTAGACAAAAATTGTATGGTTTTGAGGGTAAAATAAGATGGTGTCATTGGTTTGACCTCGGGTGGCATCGTTAAGGTCAGGTCAAGGACATCTTTAATTTCTTAAATGGAATCACCTATTTTTTATTGCATATTTTTATAGCTTATGTCGAGAGCTTTCCAAAACACTATAATAAAGTATTTTTTCATTGAGTACTTTTCGATTTATAAAACTTAAAATAAAATCTTAATTTTACATGAACTATAAAATATCTAGTAAAATATTTATTTCTCGATTATCTTACCTTAATACTTTTATGTACAAAATAATAAATGGAATCAATTGGTCTAAAAAAAAAACATATAATTGTTCCGAAGAAAAAATATGTAATTTGCAATTAACAATTACATATTTTTTCTTAAAAACAACTGTGTGTTTTTTTTTACACTAATTGATTCCTTTCATTATTTTGTACATAAAAGTATTAAGGTAAGATAATCGAGAAATAAATATTTTACTAGATATTTTATAGTTTATGTAAAATTAAGATTTTATTTTAAGTTTTATAAATCGAAAAGTACTCAATGAAAAAATACTTTATTATAGTGTTTTGAAAAGCTCTCGACATAAGCTATAAAAATATGCAATAAAAAATAGGTGATTCCATTTAAGAAATTAAAGATGTCCTTGACCTGACCTTAACGATGCCATCCGAGGTCAAATCAATGACACCATCTTATGTTCCCTTTAAAATCATACAATTTTTGTCTAAAACGTTTTTCTCTAAAATGCTTAGTTTTTGAATGAAAAGAGTGTACGGTTTCTAATGACATATTGATTTGTAGTTATCCGTTATTTTTGCAATAAGAGTAGCAAAGAAGTTTGAAGGATCTGAATATCTATATAGTAAGCAAAGAAGACTGTCTAATTTTAATGAAATATGACGGGGGTGATGGCGGGTTCTTTGCTCATTTATTTAGAGATGTTTAACATATAGTACAAAAAAGAGTGATATCCCTAAAAAATTACCCTTTTAAAAAAAAGGTAAAAAAAGGTGCTAAGTCCGCGTAAAAAACAGTATATGTATTTGCAAAATAGTGTATTATTAACTGTAAAAACCTACTGTATTGTATATCCTACAAAAATAATGATATTAAAAAAGTTGCGCTAAGTGAAAATAAAAGCTTATAAAAATACTTTAACCAAAAAAAGTTATACAAAATAGCTGATTTAATTTTCTACATTATATCCTAGAAAAATAATGATATCCAAAAATTACGCTAATTGAAAATAAAAACTTAAAATAATTTAACTAAAAAAAATTGTACAAATAATTGTTTTAATTTCATACAAATAATATTAAAAAGTTGCGCCAACTGAATAAAAATTTTTACTATAAAATAGACATATTTCTTTTTTATTTTCAATATTAAAAGAAAAATGATATTAAATGAATTGTAATATATCTATTATAAAAAATCGAATTGAAAATATGAACAATCATATACATTGCAATAATCATATGCATATACATCCTGAAAAGTTTAATTAAAAAAAAAAAAGAAAATGATAATACAAAATACAAAATTAAAAATTATTAAAAAAATTAAAAATTAAAAATTAATAAATAAAAAATAAAAATTTATATAAAAATTAAAAATTAATACATATAAAAAAATTTTAGTTAAAATACTTAGCGTTGCTACGCTGAACAATGTGCTAATGAAATTAGCAGCGCTAAGTTTTTTAACTAAAATTTTTTTATATGTATTAATTTTTAATTTTTATATAAATTTTTATTTTTTATTTATTAATTTTTAATTTTTAATTTTTTTAATAATTTTTAATTTTGTATTTTGTATTATCATTTTTTTTTTTTTTTCTTAATTAAACTTTTCAGGATGTATATGCATATGATTATTGCAATGTATATGATTGTTCATATTTTCAATTCGATTTTTTATAATAGATATATTACAATTCATTTAATATCATTTTTCTTTTAATATTGAAAATAAAAAAGAAATATGTCTATTTTATAGTAAAAATTTTTATTCAGTTGGCGCAACTTTTTAATATTATTTGTATGAAATTAAAACAATTATTTTGTACAATTTTTTTTAGTTAAATTATTTTAAGTTTTTATTTTCAATTAGCGTAATTTTTGGATATCATTATTTTTCTAGGATATAATGTAGAAAATTAAATCAGCTATTTTGTATAACTTTTTTTGGTTAAAGTATTTTTATAAGCTTTTATTTTCACTTAGCGCAACTTTTTTAATATCATTATTTTTGTAGGATATACAATACAGTAGTTTTTTGCAGTTAATAATACACTATTTTGCAAATACACATACTGTTTTTTACGCGGACTTAGCACCTTTTTTTTACCTTTTTTTTAATTATTACTCATAACGAATCTAGATATGAAAATATTGGACGTGGACTTAAGAATTACTGTTCCCTTAATGTCAGGGTACGTATACTGATAAAAAAACAGTTATATTTATCATAAATTACTTTTAACACTAAGTATAAAATTAAAGTTATTATTATTATGCATATGTTTATTATTATCAATATTACAGCAGTAATAACTATAAAATTAGAAATTTCAACTATAACTTTTTACTATACAATTATAATTGGTTCTTTTTTTCAGATATGTAGAATATGTCGCTTATTCGATACAAGAACAGAGAATTTATTGGAGTTACAAAAAATATCTAATGACATTGAAGATTAATGAAAATAATATCGCAGATATAGCTAGCTTTCATAATACTCTACATAATCTCTGCATTGACTGGATAGCAAGAAATTTATATTTCACCTATCGACGGTCAGACTACAATTATATTGTAAAGTCCGACTTAACAATGTGAGAAAATGGCATAATTAAGTTTGATGAGATTATCCAATCTGAAAATGATATTCTCCATTTAAGTGTATCACCGTCTATGGGGTACGTTTACTACCGTTCACCCGTGAGAAAATAATTTTTCATTAAAGATTTATGCAAATTTGTAATTTTTTTATAATTTCACGTAGTTTTATAATTAAAATCATAAGTAAAAAATATAATAAGTTGTTATATAGTTATAAGAATTTCAAATTTTTACTACATATAAATTTCTGTTTAAAAATAATGTTAAGTAATTCTGTGTTAAATAATGTTTTATAATGAGTAAAATAGTTACATATTTTTTAGAATGTTATATGGATTATACGGAATACAAGGATACAATAATAGGACGATGACAGAATATAGTATGGTAAAATATCATCTCGATGGAGAAATCGAGCAATCTGTTAAGATAAATACATCCTTTTGCATATTTTATTCTATCGATTCTTTTCATGATATAAAAATTGATGACATGAATAATGAGGAGCCATTAATTTACTGG